GGTGTTAGTGCCACCTGAGAGCTATTACTACTATTCCTACCAGCATCAATGTCCGAAGGCGAGGGTATCATATTTCTACCCTAAATTTTAGAAGCAATGGAAAAAAATTGATGTGCTCCTGCGAAGGGGTAAAAAGTTAGTAAGAAGAACAAAGCAGGACTCCAGTAAGTAGTGTAGGGTTTAATTATGAGAGGAAAACACACCCGGAAAGAGTAAGGAATAGAGAGGCTGAGAGCTGGTCCCCGGAGTGTGAGCTTCGGGGTTTGAGCTGCCCCAAAGCCCCCCACCTCCGCTCCTCTTCTTATTGACTAGCTAACCTCTGTACATCTTTCTTTGTAAAGTAGGGATGATAATGGTAACGTACAGGTTAAGCACCTCGTAAATAGAAGATGGCATTCGCATTACTGTTTTAAGTTCAGCTGCTAATGGTGTGATCTTGCCCATATGAAGGATGTGAAACTCAGGGGTCATAAATCATCTTTGACGTTAATCATAACAGCATCCTACCGGGTGGCCTACAGGTCCAGCTGCTGTTGAAGGCTCGTGGAATAATGTGTATTAGCACATTTCCTTAATTGAGAGAATTCTTTCTATTAAAATATTGTTACATGGCTATTTGACAGTGCTACTTTAAACCTAATCATAAAAGAAATTGTTTTCAATTTGGCAAACAATAGTATTCCTGTGCTTGAAAGTGTAAAGTGGAGGCAGTGAACAGGTTACCTGTGCATCTAGACAGCCCATGCCATGTAGGTTGTGAGGGGTTGTGGGGTTGGGGTTTTTGTTGTTTTTGTTTTGTGTACTATTTGAACTCATTACCATCTGTATAGGAACATCTCAATTCAAGTTATATCCTGTGTAGGAAAAAAACTAGTTCTTCCCTACTGTGTTTCTCTCCTGTGTGTCTTCTTTACTACTCATATAAAACACTTAATTTCTTGTCACCAAATATCTTGAGGTTTTCTCCACATCAAGCAATTCTCTGCAGCACCAGCTGGGTGTCCTACAATTAATTAAATGTTGACACTATCTACCTGGAGACATCATCAGATCACACAGGTTAAGGGCTCAGTCCTACAAGTCTCTCTCTCTCTCTCTCTCTCTCTCTCTCTCTCACACACACAGACACACACTCACACACACACACACACACACTCACATGCACACACACATATACAGATGCAGTCACAAGCCCAGGTTATCACCTGTGCTTCTGACCAACCAGCTATAGATCAGAGGTTGCAAGGACCCCTCTCCTCAGATTCAATTAACTTGCAAGAGCAGCTAACAGAACTCTGGGAAACACATTTACCAGTTTATAAAAGGATACAAAAACAAAACAAAAAACAAACAAACGCAGAGCCAGATGGAGATACATAGGGCAAGGTCTGCAAGGGTCTGGAGCTCAGGAGCTTCTGTGGAGCTGGGGTGTGTCGCCTCCCAGGATGTGGATGTCTTCACCAGCCTGGAAGCTCTTCAAACCCCCTGCTATTGGGGTTTTTATGGAGTTTCCTCATACAGACATGTCTAATCGTTAACTCCATTTCTTGTGATAAGAGCCCATCCAGGAGCCCACCCAGTCATATCATTAGAACACTAAGTGTTGTTATCACTTAGGAATTAAAAGGTTTTCAAGATGTCTGTGCCAGGGAGGGGGTCAAAGAGAAATATTAGAACTAAAGATATTCCTAGTATTCTTATTGCTTGGGAAATTACAGGGCTTTCGCGACCTGTGCCAGGAACACAGGGCAGAGGCCAATAGATATTTTTTATTATCTCACAGCATCCTATGGCCATGCTGGCCACGGAGTAGGAGCAGTCCCCTTTGGATGGGGCTGAACTCTCCAATGGTGGACTGCATGCACTCTTCTAAATCACCTGCCTGGACCCTGATACTGTTAGTGGAAGGGAGTCTCCACATCTCCATCTGTTGCTGGTGGGAGTGCACTTCTCGTGATTTCCCGAGAAAAGGAATTTTCTGAGCCTCGCACAGGAGGATGAGCTGTTGTGGAAAGCTTTATTTCTGTGGAATTAAACCCCTGAGTTCCCAAGCTCCCATGTCCCCTTGTCCCGCCGAGGAAGCAGTATAGCTGTGGCTTCAGCAGAGCAGGAATCAGAGCCAGTGTCCAGAGCTTTCACTCCATGTGGGAGCAGTGTCCAGTCCAGCATCAGGCTAGCATAGCTCGTGTTCCCATCCGCATCTATCAGTTCACTGCATGTGGGGTCCGCAGGGCCACATGACTATGGAGGAAACATGGAATGCAAGGAAGCAGGAACAAGAGAGCGAGTTCCTGGGGATTATGTATTCCCAAATTTTCACAGACCCCCACTTATTTCTGTTCCCAGGTTTGACTGACAGCAAGCACCCTCCCTATGTCATTCCAACTTCACTAAAATAAAATAAAATAAGCCAAACACCAATGTCTACTTGGTTTCCTTTTTATTGCAAGACATTGTAATTTCACAAGGCTGGTTCAGATAAAAACATTTGGACCAAGTTCAGGGGCTGCGGTTTTCCCTTGCTTCATGAAATCGTCTATGGGCAGGCCTTTGATCTTCCTGATCCATGCAGCTTTTCTGGCCCTTTCTGGGTTGACCACTTCAGTGGGCTTTGTGGCCTGATATTCTTTCAGCTTGGCTTCCTGGTACTCTTTCTCCTCCCTCACAGTCAACAGCATGAATTCGCTATTCATTCTAAATGGATCCAGGGCCGGGCAGTAGCAAGGCCGTTCTTTCTTGACAGGCTGGGTTGTCATGTCTACTTGTGGAGCCACCATGTGGTTTGCCTTAATGACATGCAGGCTGGTTAAGGGTCTGAAGCTGCGTACTGCCCCGTCAATAGAACTGGTGACTTGATCTTCAATCTTTAAGCTGCCAGAGATCCTGGAGCGAATAATCATGGGCTGGGGTATGGAAGACTGGACTCGGGAATCATGCAAAGAGTTCTTCAAGTTGGGCTGCGTTTTCAATATCTTGCGGGAAATATTCTTCTGTCACCCCCATAATTCGGATGTTGGTATGCTTGAAGTTGTCCCAGAGGCTCGTTACACTATCTTCATATTTTTGCATTTTTTTTTCTTTTTGTTTTTCCGGTTGGTGTTTTTTGCAGAACTGGTGACTTGATCTTCAATCTTTAAGCTGCCAGAGATCCTGGAGCGAATAATCATGGGCTGGGGTATGGAAGACTGGACTCGGGAATCATGCAAAGAGTTCTTCAAGTTGGGCTGCAGTTTCTGGATTTCAAGGGAAATATTGGTTTGTTTCACATCTATGGGAGGGTGGCTGACTCTCAACGTGTCAACTGCATGTTGTAATGATTTTCCTTTGAAACTAAGGACCTTCCTTGGGTGTGAAATTGAAGGTTCCCAAACATCAATGACTTGGGACTTTGTCCTATGCGGATAGGCATACTTCCCTGAAGTATGGGCTTGCTGCAGGGCATTAACTGTCAGTAGGAACCGGTCGGGCGACATAGAGATTTTCCAGGACTTCCTCCTTGAGTGTTTGGGCCTGTGTCCAAAAGTTTCCAGTTGTCCTTTTTTGGGTACTTTCTCCATATCATCTAGTTTTTCCAAAAGAAAAGAAAAGGAAAATCAGTGTTCCATGAAAAGCATTAAGTACTTAAGCATGAAAATTAAATCCGTTCTAATTGGGATGCAAACTGACATATCTGTTGCCCAATGGACATGCCATCCATCATGTGGGCAAAAATCCTCCATGATACCAGAAATTATGACATATTCAATGCAACAAGTCATTAACAAATATGCTACTACTTGTGTGTAAGTGTGCATTAACCTCTAGATGCATATTATGGAGGGAACATATGTAGTCCCAATGCGCCACACATATTTTGAAATGTCATACCTCATTTATAATTCACACAAAATAGGCCTTAGAAATTCATAGTAACAAACTAAATGTTCATCATTTAGTTCATGTTTGTGTATGGACATGAATTTCTGTTTTTAAAGAAAAATTGAATGACAAAATTGGATTCCCATCTTATTAATCAAATTTGACTCCAAATGATCTTCGGACATTTTCTAAAGTGAAAACTACCTTCAAAAGATATGTCACCCCTGGGAAATGCTAAATAACACAGCATGACCGAAAGGCAGCTCCTGAATAGGAGTTCCTAAAATGTTTTACCCAACAGCAGCAACACCAAAAGCTGCTGACAAGAACCAGAGATTCATCCTGTACTCTATATCAGTGATGGTGAACCTTTTGAGCTCGGCGTGTCAGCATTTTGGAAAATCTTAACTCTGGTGCTGTGTCACATATAGAAATTTTTTGGTATGTGCAACCATAGTAAAACAAAGACTTATATTTTTGATATTTATTTTATATATTTAAATGCCATTTAACAAAGAAAAATCAACCAAAAAAATGAGTCTGCGTGTCACCTCTGACACGCGTGTCATAGGTTCGCCATCACTGCTCTATATCATGGTCAAGAACAAGGTGCCTAAGATCTGAGTTAAGAATGTCTTCATAGGTGAGCAAATCTACTACGTTGGTGCTATTATATCTCAGTTGGGCCTTTTGACCCCTACAATACCTCACAGGTACACTGAAAGTAGCATTCCCATTTTATGAAAGGAATAACTGAGTCATGAAAAGTGGAAGTCGTTTGTTTAGTCAGACCCAGCAAGTGAAAGTCTGTATCACCAACTATAGCAATCTATAACTAGTAAATAAAATGCGACCATGTGTTAAGCATATAATCTTCCTTATCCCAAGATGTTTGTGTATGGACATACTAGGATGGAATAAAACTTCATATTTCTCCCTTTCACTTTGTGAATTAAATAATTTTTTATGAAAACATATAAAACAAAATAAAGATGTCAAAATCTTCCCCACTCTCAATCCCAGAACAAACCATTCCACACCTATGTGTGTACATGTATAACAAACCACACAATTTTTTCTCTTTTTATAAAAATTATGACAACTCTTTGTTCATTGACTTGTCTTTTTTATATAATGATATATTGTGGATCTTTTTACAAGTCAATATATATATATATATATATATATATATCCTTGTGATATAATTGTATCTGTTGTATAATACTGGAGAATATATATTTGTTATTATTAGTCATTGCCCACTGATGAACATTTAGTTTGTTAGTGATCATTCTTAAAGAAATGCAAAGACCATTTATTTACAAGCAAGTGCATGATACAAGAAGTGCAAAATGATAGATAGCCCTAGCTGGTTTGGCTCTGTGAGCAGAAGATAGGCCTGCAGATGAAAGGGTCCTGAGTTCTGTTCTGGTCAAGGGCATGTACCTCAGTTATAGGCACAATCCCTGGCCCCAGTCAAGGCATGTTTGGGTGGCAACCAATCTATGTGTCTTTCTCACATTGATGTTTCTCTCTCTGTCTCTTCCCCTCCCTTCTACTCTCTCTAATAATCAATAGAAAAATCTCCCCAGATGAGAATTAACAAACAAACAAAAGAGAGAGAAAATGCTAGATTGTTGGCATGGGTGCAGTGGGAGTCCTCATGCATTCTTGCTGGGATGGTAAATTGATACACCATCTTTAAAGGACAACCATGACAATATCTTTCTAGTTTTTAAATACAGCTATCCTTTGGCTCAGCAAAGCCTCTCCTAGCACTTTATACTATAGCTATATATCTACATAGGTACACAGACATAGGTACATACAAAGATACCCACTGTTAGTAGAGCCCTTCTAAAACTTAATTGTTTTCCCCTCACCTTACAACTAGTCTCTGCAGGTAGTTTGATTCAAAGAAGCACTGTTGTATTAACCAAACTATTTGAAAGGCATTGTAAATCTTTATCGAAGTTCTTCAAAAACAAAGGGACATACTATTTATGGATGTCCAGTAATTCTTCTTAAAAGCCCCTTCTCCATCTCTCTTATCTCCTTATCTCATATGTATAGCACCTGTCCCCAAATTTATCTTCTTCCTCATGAAATCCCCTAAAACACCCTCTGAAATCAGACATAACTTACTCTTCTTTCTTCTGTTCCCCATTACTCAGACTGATGACATAACTGTCCAGGAACTAAGGAGGTTAAATGGTAGGGAAGGAAGTCAGGCTATGAGCCCAAAACTGGAAATTTAGCTCTTACAAAGTTTCTCGTTTTGTGGCCTCAAGCTTTTAAGAAAGCAATTAAGTAAAACCAATCACTCTTAGGAAAAGCCAGGCATTTTATCCATTCTGAATTCTCAAAGATAAGCAACTTTAATGATCTTCTAAAAAACTAGACTGAACAAAAAGAGAGAGAGAGAGAGAGAGAGAGAGAGAGAGAGAGAGTTGGAGTATGCCACTGAGACTAAAGTATCACTATCCATCTTACCTCCCGAAAGGGATTTTGCTTGCTGACTCTCCTGCTCACTGTCTGAGCTAATGACTTCCTTAGAAACAGCACTCACTCTCATTTTGCTGTCTCCATCTCTTCGGGGTGATTTTAGCTTTGTTTGACTTTGAGGCACCTCTAATGACCCTGCTAAATTAAGATTGATGAAAAAACCATAGTAAGTACATAATTCAATTAAGCCTGAATAATGGGGGCATAGCTGATAATTTGATTGTTTTTCACCCAAACCATCATCTTATTGTTTGTCTAATGAAACTAGGTAGTCACCTGGAGCCTAAGGATTGATCACCCCACCTACTGATTATTAAGCTCTAAGCATTATCTGAAACTCTCTGTCCTCTATATTCTGGGAAGTGATCTATTAATTTATGGGTCCAACTGCACACATCAAATATCCTATCTAATAAAGAGGGAATATGCTAATTGACCCTCACACCATCACAAAGATGGTGGCACCCACGGCCAATAAAGAGTGAATCTGCTAATTGACTGTCCCACCCTCAAAGATGGCGGCACCCACAGCCAATAAGGAGGGAATACGCTAATTGACTTCCCTGCCCTCAAAGATGGTGGTGTCCACAGCCAATAAGAAGGGAATATGCTAATTGGCCATCATGTCCTCAAAGATGGCAGCGCCCACAGCCACAAGATGGTGGCACCCAGTCCCCTCAGCCCTGCTGAGGTGCCTGCCTCCTGAGTCCCCCAGTCCCCTCAGACCCCAGCCGCCCAAGACCAGCCCGAGGCACAGGCATGCCTCAGATGGTGGCTGCCCAGCCACCCAGGGCTGTCTGAGGCTCAGCTAAACAGGGCCAGCCGAGGCTTGTGCTGCCAGGAGCGGCAGCAGCAGAGGTGTGATGGAGGTGTCACCTTCCCCTGATCACCAGGTCACCTCCCACCCCTGAGGGCTCCCGGACTGTGAGAGGGGGCAGGCCGGACTGAGGGACCCCCCTTCAGTGCATGAATTTTCATGCACTGGGCCTCTAGTAGGTTAATAAAAGGAGTTTGCCTACTCTAGTCCCCATACAATTTATTCTTTATATGTCTTATAAATGGCATGAGCCATGCCACTCCACTGCACACTTAAATAAACACACACACACACACACACACACACACACACACAAACACACACATACAGAGGTATCTGCTTCATAACTAATATTTTCCAGGTATCGTGTCCTCAATCAGAGGTAGAGATAATACATTTGCATAGAACATTTTTCTTCTGCTTTATAACAACACTAGAGGCTCAGTGCACAAAATTCATGCACTGGGGGGGGAGGGGTCCCCTCAGCCTGGCCTGTACCCTCTTGCAGTCCAGGAGCCCTCAGGGGATGTCCAACTAATGGCTTAGGCAAGCTCCTGCCACCGCTGCTGTGCTCGAAAGCCGTGAGCCTGGCTTCTGGCGCACTGACCACCAGGGGACAACTCCTGCATTGAACGTCTACCTCCTGGTGGTCAGTGCATGTCATAGCAACCAGTTGTTCTGCCATTCAGTTGATTTGAATATTAGCTTTTTACTATATAGGATTTTGTCCTAAGAAAATAATTACGTACCATATGTTTGGCTAGGGGGTGTGGAGGGAGGATGTTGGTTGCTTGCTTTTGTTTAAATGGCAAGTATTAAGGGCTAATGTTGTTAGCTATTGTACAAAGATTCTAATAATCTGAAAACTTAGGCCTTAAAAATCAGGAGATTCCCATGAGCTGGCTAACAAATTGGTGAATCAAAGAAAATTGCTCCCACCTTCCTTTAAAGGTGGGATTTATATCATCAAGAAACCACTGGATAAAATATCCCATGAAGAAACTAGTCCTGGCAGCCTGAGACCTGCTTCATTGGGTACCACTCTAATGGCCTGGGAGTCAGTTCTCTTACCTGTTATTGTCCTGGATGGCAACAGGAGAACGCGGGACTTGTGAGATTTACTTAACAGGGACTCCTGGGCCACCAGGTATTTATTAGATATGGAGCTCCCCAGGTTGTGAATCGGAGTGCTAGCCTTAGACATGACTTCCGGGAGGTTTTCCTCCCTGTCCTCTTTATCCCTGGTCTTTCTTTGTTTGGCCCGTTCTAGGAAGTACTGCCACTTGATATTCTCAAACTGGAATAGGAGGATATTGCTCTCTGTGTTGATCACCATCCTGGAAGGAAAACAACAAGATTGCCCAGAAAAGGAGCATGAAGGCCACCATGCCTGGCCTCCAGATCTGCAGGCCAACTGCTGCCCTGTCCAATCCTCAGCCAAGGAAAATTCCCCCAGGAGATTACTGTGCCGGTAGCGGGTGTAGGTTGTTGAAGGGTCAAGGATAGCAGACCATGCAGCAGGGCTCATGGGCTCTGGAGCTATTTGTTGTTGTTGTTAATGAAATGTGAGCAGGGCACATATGTTCTAATTACTTTGCTTTTGGAGTTAAAATACTTTTAAAAGCATTTCCATTCTTGAAGTGAGTGCCAAGCACCTCGGATGCTTGAGGCAGAAGACTTGGGTACTTTGCATGAATGTTAGGTCCTGAAATTCACCCTTGTTTTAAGCTCAGCATCCAAACGCCATGTTTCTATTGCTGTGATGGGGGTGTGGAAAAGTCTTTAATGGGAGAGGTTCCCACCTCAATGATCCTCCAGTCCACTCCCCTTCACTCCATCACTCCAAGGTCTCCGAGCATGCTCTACTTTAGACTGAGCATGTAGGATGTTTTAAAGCAGGATGGTTTCCATCTTCTCTAAGCCCCACTTTAATGACCTGGTGGGAAAGGAGTTCCAAATCTAGCCCCCCGCCTCTCACCCCACCCCGCAAGAACTGCCTCCCACTTGCCCATGGCTTCTGTCGTTCTCAGAGAAAGCCACTTCCTCTGCCCTACCTGGACCTCCTCTCACCATAAACAAGAAACAGAGACACTGTGTGTAGGTTCCTTTCTACTCCAAAGGCTGCAATTTTAAGATCGTAATGGTTAGTGTAAACTCTGTAAGAGAGTGACTTGTTTTGGTTGAAAACACTGGAATAAAATTTGGGGAATCATTCCAATTAAAAATCTCTTTCTGATTTATTTTTACTCAAACCAAAAAGGAAATAGTCTCTCTTCAGATGTCAGGGTGAGAAAAATTCAGGGGTGATTTAAAAAAAAAATTATTATCTCATGACTGAAAAGTGTTTATTTATTGAGACTAATTACCAGTGCTCCCTCTTTAAGATGAGAAATAGTAAAGTTTCATTAAAGAGAAGGCATTATGATTCATGGACATTAACTTGATGTCTAAAGTGAGCCTGTGGTAGAATTTTTAAAAAGTGAATTCTACTTGGGTATATTTCACATAATAGTACCTTGAATATGGCATATAACAAGCACAGTATTATATACAATTAGTCTAGTCCCAGTTCTGGCTTCTGTAAATTCATTTGCTCAGCACTGTCCCAGGAGACACAGGACCCTTTGCCCCTGCCTTCCCCACCTCCTGCACTTTTGGGCATCTGAAGTGAGGCTGCAGAGACAGTAGGTGGAGCTCTGGTGCAGTGAGTGCAGGCTCAGGGAGCAAGCAGGGGCTGCCCATTTCAGAGCTGTGGTCCCTGCAGCTAAGCCATGCTGCACTCACTGCATGAGTAACCCAGATGTCCAGGACAAATCAGGAGTGATGTGAACCCTGATTGCTAAGTTTGGTGCAAAGTCCATTTAGTCTCCCATGAGACCATGACTCTCCTTCAGCCGAAGCCCAGCTTTACTGCCAGAAAGTCCAGGGCTGGTGGTCCAGAGGAGACAAAAATCATCCAAACAGAACTGTTCATAGCTCAGACCACCCACCTGTTGCCGCCAATGAAGAAGGACAGCACGGGATCACCTCTGCCATTGGCCTTCATCACCTTCAGACAGTTCCCATTGAGGAAGTTGTAAATGCGGATCTTGCCATCTGCACAGGCACTGATGACCCGGAGGAAGAGCAGGGCCACGTGGAGAACCTCCCTGGAAGGGGACAGAGCAATAGGCAGGGTGTGTCATTTGGTGAGCTGCTTGGGACTTTTGTAGTTCCAGGTATTTTGTGTATGGTCAGGAGTCAGTGGTTCTAACTATCCCTGAAGTGATGTTTGCCCTCATTTCATAATTCTGGATGTAACTCTCAAGACATGGCTCTACTCATTCATCCCATTCTGCAAAGATTTTTCCTGCAATTTAGTCACAGTGCCACAAGACAGCAAAGTGCAAAGGCCTATGTCAAATTTTGTTGGGGGAGGGGGGTCTGTTTTATAGATGATCATACTTTTATAATTTGATTCCTAGCTATTGACATCTACAAAAGTCCTGCCAAGAATTATTTATTTTTTTTCTTTTAATCCTCATTGCAGGATATGTTTCAATTGATTTTGAGGTAGAGAGAGAGGAAACATGGATCACTGATTGGTTGCCTCCCATAGAACCCTGGCCAGGGACCAAACCCACAATCTTTTGGTGCACTGGATGACAGTCCAGCAAACTGAGCCATCTGGCCAGACTGAATTATTTAATGTTTTTATTCCTTTTCAAATAATATATATAAATTATATATTGCCTAAACCAGCAGGTGGACATCCTCTGAGGGTTCCCAGACTGCAAGAGGGGATAGGCCGGGCTGAGGGACCCCCCGAGTGCACAAATTTTTGTGCACCGGGCATCTAGTGTGTGTATACACACACACACACTAAATTATATACATATGTACACACACACATACATATAAATATATATATATTTATTTATCTATCTTATATGCTGTGTCCAACCATCTGACTGGTCGCTATGATGCACACTGACCACCAGGGGACAGATGCTCAACACAGGAGCTGCTTAGGCGCTCACTGGCTGGCATCATGGACCTGGCGCCAACAAACCAACACTCAGCTTCTCCCAAGTGGGACACAGGTGCTGCCATTACCCCGGAGCGACACCCCAACAAATTGCAGCCAACGTTGCCAAGACCCCATGGCACAAAATGCGGCCCACAGCCCAGCCCAGCCGGAAAACAGTGGGTGGCTGTGGGTGCTGAGTAATGACATTGCCACGTCACATAGCAATGCCTGTCTTCCTCTCCCAGCGATTAGCCTCCTTGGAGTTTCTTCAGCCCAGAAACACAACTTGCTTTATAGCCAAGTGCAAACATTTCACACTTTAACCAAATGTCTGTGAAGCATTTTCCCATGCCTCATTTCATTTGATCCTCACAGAAGTCCTGAAGTAGGTAGATAGGAGACTCGGTAGAATCCTATTTTCTTTTCATTAGCCAGAAAAATGAAGATTTAGAAAGCTTAGAAACCTGACCCTTCTGAAAAGAAGTAAAAAATGGTGGTCCTTGAAAATGACTTCAGGTTTTCTCACTGTGCAGAATGTAGTCAAACACTGCTGCAGTTAAATATTTTATCCTTTGTTCTCCCTGCGTGATCTACAATAATAATGTGCTTCGGGTTGTTATTTACTGCTATGTTGCTGACAATGACATGAAAGAGAAGTTGGGGTGATTCACTGGGCTGGAAAAAATTTAGCTAAATCATGCACCAGGCCACTAGTTATTAGATAAAGAAAGGAAAAAAAGCAAGCAAAGATGCTCATCTTTATATGAAGCAAAAATCTGGTATTTGAGCAGTTTCTTTTGGGTTTTAAATTGGTGGCTTTCATTCTTCCAGTTAAACATCCTGAAGGAAAACTGTACCCAGGTACGAGGTTTATCAGTTCCTTTTTGTGATGACTAGCAAGGACAGAGAAAGGAACAGGAGATGACTTAGAATTCAGTGGTTCTCAACCTGTGGGTCAACAATAAAAATACATCCTGCATATCAGATATTTACATTACAATTCATAAGAGTATCAAAATTAGTTTTGAAGTAGCAATGAAAATAATTTTATGGTTGGGGTCACCACAACATGAGCAACTGTATTAAGGGGTCGCGGCATTAGGAAGGTTGAGAACCACTGACTTAGATAGATGCTTCCAACAAAATCCTCCCTACAATAGCTGGTCCAAGTGGGACTCCAGATATGTGTAGTATTCAGTTCTGAGAGGTGCAGCTAACACATTCCTATTAATGATACTGAATCGTTGAATTTGATGCCTCCGATTTGATTTTATATGCAAAGCAAGTCCACCCATTCCTGCCATCTCTACCCATCTAAGTCCACTATCTCTTATTTTCACCCTCCACCCCCGTGTGCGTGTACACACACACACACACAGACCTAGGTATATGATGGATTCTTTTGGATACAACCTATGTCTTTTCATCTTTGCATGCCCTGCATAGGGCCTAGCCCATAGCAGGTCCTCAATAAATATTTGTTGAAAAAGTGGGTGTCAGCTTATGTTTGAGTATGATCATTGCTACAGTGTGTTTAAAAGATGACATCAAACCATTTAACATGAGCCTTGGTCAGGCCCAAGAGCCTGATTAAGACTTCAAAGCCCCAACCACTAGCAAAATAGAAATAACGAAGAACTTGGAAGGCAGGAGCATGTTAGCATCTTCAAAGAGCAGCAAAGAGGCCAATGTGGCTTGAATTCCACCTTCTGTGATAGATGATAGATAGATAGATAGATGGATGGATAGATAGATAGATAGATAGATAGATAGATAGATAGATAGAATAAATTAAGTATAAGAAAATCCAACAAAGTTCTAGGTTTTTTCAACATGGAAATATAGTGACTTTATTGGTGTACTTAGTCCACCTGTCAGGGAGTCCAGCACTAAGAAAGGTGCCTGGTGGTAGAAGTGTTTAGCTCTTTCTATATCTCTTTTGAGCTTCTGAGCTGGGCCTGCACTTTACATAGGTTTCTGTGACATTTGGTAGTTCAGTCTACACCAGTACAGCCTACTGATAAAAAGCACAGCTTTGGGATCAGAAAACCCTGAGAAAGTAACAATCTCTCAGTCTTTAGTTTACTTCTATAAAGAAGGGATAGTGATTCCTGCCTCAGAGAATTGCTATCAGGAAAAAATTAATGAAAGTATTTATAAAACAGCTTAGTACCTGACATAATTATTATTATGATCCTACCATAGATTAGATTCCTTTCAGGTTTTATCTCTGTCGTATAAATAAGTCATTTGTCTTCTTCTTTGCTCCTTCTTTGTTAAAATACACTACTAAGAGTGATATCAATGAAAATGGAGAAGGTAAGAAGT